TGGAGAACTTCATGAAGGAATGATTTTTATTCCAAGATTTGAATAAGATAATCTATTGGTTTAAACTAAACCAATCCCAAAGAGTTAATCAGTAGTACAATCATTTCCTCAACCTCAGGTCTAGAGATATAATGAAGAATAGAAAAAGAATGCTGAAGAGGAGGAAAAATAGCAGTAACCATTTTCCTAAATACAACCTAATACTTCATTGTAGTAGCCACTAGGTTAAGCATAAAATACTTAACCTTAGAGCCAATTTTCTTTTAGTGGACCGAACTCTACTTAGTAACAATAAAATTAGAATTAGTAAAACTCCTTTGCTTTAGGATAGGATTAGAATTAGATTAAACATTCAAACACTTTTTCTACCTAGCAATAAAAATTGCCTGTTCAGCAATTATAGCATTCTCAGACTTCTAAGATGTTTGGATTCTAACATCCAATTCAAACTGATCCATTCAAAGATGGAACTTTTGCTACTCCTTAAACAAACTAAGATTCTAAGACTTAGCACTTATCATCCTCCTAAACTGGTGCATTTGCTCTAGGGTAAAAGATTACATAGCCTCAATTAAAATCAATTACCAACTTTAAAGGAGCCTAATAAACATAGCATCTTTAGAATCATCCAAGCAATTTTTCTTTTTCTTAACCTCAAATCCAGCCTGACTAAACTTAAAATAAATCATAAGCAATTCCTTAAGCTAAGTCTTAATTAGTTCCTTAGTAATTAGTTTAATAGTAACCAATCCGAAAGTAGAATAATACTTAGCAATCAATTCCAAAAAGTTAATAGCCAATTTAAGTCTAAATTTCAAAGTAAGTAATGCTTTAAAGTAAATAAAAGACTCCTATCCAAGTTCAAATCGAAGATTTTGAAAGGAAGATGATTGATCGTTATAACAAAGAAGTAGTTGATCTCCTGAAACAATTTAGAGATAATTTGCCTACTTTATAATGCCTCAAAGATGATCTGATAGCAAATAACGTCAAATGGGACAAACTTGATCAATTGCTAAGTAATAGCATAACTTCCACTAGTATTTAGATTAGCTAAAATCAGAAAAAGGAAGAGGTAAAGTTTTAAGTTAAGAATTTAAGAGCATAAACATCTCAAATAATATAGATAAGAGAATAATTATTCAAGTCTAAACAAGTGATAGGATAATTTGAGCTCCATAAAGATGATTAAGGGTTAAGGTAGCATGAAGGTCAAAGACTGAAAGATCTTCTTGTGTTTGATGATTCTAGAGAGGACAATAAGTAGTAATTTAATAAAGCACATAAGTAGAAATATGTGACCATCGATGATAAGGTAATAGATATTCTTGAAAGAACAAATTCTTAAGAGAAAAAGTCATCGAAGTCATAAGAATTAAATAAGCTAATTCAAAGATTCAGTGAAAGAGTTATATCCCTTTAATCAAATGCTTAGAGATATTAACCTTAAAATAATCCTAGAAACAAATTTTTAACTAAAGGCGGTAATTTTAAGGCAAACTTAATTATTGTAAGAATGAATGATACTCAACAGAAACTAGAGATTGTGAAGGATCTCTTTGAAATCAAGAAAAATAACATAAATGAAACTATTGAAAGAGCTAGAATCAGACAAAAGCAGATATAAGAGTATTCTGAGAAGGTCAGTTCTTATATGGCCTCATTAAATTTTGGTTTAAATGAAGACTATCTTTTAAGTATAATAGACTAGCCAATTTAGGATCGATACTAACCTAAAAATATGCATCAACAATTAATCTATAAGATAGCTAACTCAGA